CTATTTAAAAAAATTTATTTCCTTTCAATTATTTCTTCCTTGTAGCATACTTAGAGACTTAAGAAAGACCTGTGGTCAAATCTGGGCTGTACAGCTTAAAAGCTGTGAGACCTTGGGCAAGTTACCTAACATGTCTATATCCCACTGTAAAATGGAGGTGACAACCCTTCGCTCATTTTTGTGATAGATATATGAGCAAATGGATATAAAATGGCTTTTACAGTGCCTGACACTCATGTACTTTGAAAAATTAATACATTTCTCTTTCCCTTTCTGTTAATGCACATTTTCTTGTCTTTACAAGTAACAGTACAACATATATTTCATCTTCTCATTTCTTTCAATCATACTTTGCATTTCTATCTTCAGCTATATGATATTGATTACTTCCCACCCTACTTTCCTTGTTGCTTACTTTCCTTTTATTTTCTTATAATTGTTTGAGTATCGAAAGGCCATATGTATTCAGGCTATTAAAGAGTTCATGTCCACAGGGAAGAGTCAAATCAATACCAAAGAAAAGAAAAGGACTTGATGCTTTCGATTTATCAGCTTGGTAAAATATGGCATCAATACATGATGAAGAATCAGTTTGAACGTCGTTATGTCTGAGAAGTCTGAAATCGACAGAAGCTGAGAGGAAAGGATCTATTTCTTAACTGACCTATCAAAACAAATCTAACCTAATCCTTAACTAAAGACAAACCCTTGGTTACTGAATCAATTGGAGTTTTATAATTTTATGGGTGAAGTTGCTTGTTCAGCAATAAAATTCGGCTGCAAGAATCACCTAGGGATATTCTACTTTTATTGTTTCATATCTTGGTTTTCACAAGCAATATGTTTTTGAGTCATATCAAAAGCATTATATATTCAACAACTAGTATGCACAAGCTATTGTCTATATCCTAAGAAAAGGAAGCACCAAATATACCCTCAAAAAGCTTACAAAAAGTTGATTGAAAGTACATACATATAAATTAAGTTAAAAATAATTCACAAGTCAATTTGCCTCAGTTGAATGAAGGCACATTTGAAGAAGAAAATCTCTCAGAAATGAACTGGATGTTGAAGATCGTGAAGGACATAGATTGACAAATAGGCAGATAAAGGGCTTTCTAGGTAGGGAAAGGCAAGTGATGAAATACTAGATTAGAGTAGAAGTTATAAAGTGGATTGGGATGGCCATAGCCAAGAGACAGGGAGAATTAATCAGAGGCTTGGAGAATGATTTTATGTCAATGGTGAGATAGAAAAGCCAGAAGGCAGGAAAGAAGATAAGAAAAGCTGGAATACAGAAAGGAAGATATGACCTCTGTCCTTGAGAAGCACACATTAATGACATAAATCTAAAAATAGTTTAAAAAGAAACCTATTAGTAAATGAAATGTCTAGTCCTCATTTTCCCAAAAGTGGAGAAGGATTACATTAACTTACCTCTCCGATCCCACCCGATCCATCCCTTTGTGACGCAGAGGGAAGTAGAGAATGATCCTTCGTGATTAGTGGTTGACAGTGGGGATAAGGTTGGGGCTTTTTCTTATAAAGAAGCTTAACCCAAACCTAAGACCTGTGCTCTCTGCCTTTGAGCTCCACACTTTAAGGAACATGCTGGGCCAGTCCCAAGTGCTTCTCCCCAGCAAAGTTGACTGATGGTGATAGAACACTGATTAAAAGCTTTCCCAACCCCTCTCCATTCACAGGGCTTCTCTCCAGTGTGAATTCTCTGGTGCATTATAAGCCGTGCACTTCAATGGCTCACACAACCATCTAATGGCTTTCCCACAATCATTTCATTTATAAGGTTTCTCCCCAGATTATGTTTTCTGATGTACCATAAGGCTGGCACTATAACTGATGACTCTCCTACACTCACTATATTCCTAGAGTTTCTCACCAGTGTGAATTCTCTGGTGTATAATGAGGTGTGAGTTTTGATTGTGGATTTTTCCATGCTTACCACATTTATAGGGCTTTTTTTTTGTCTGTATGAAGTCTCTGGCATAGAGTAAGACATTCACTCAGACTCAGTGTCTTGCCACATTGAATTCAAAAAGTTTTTCTCTGTTATAAATTTGCTCATAGTCAACAAATAAAGAGTTCTGATTGAGGGTTTTCCAAACTCCCACATTTATATGCTTTTTATTAATATATGTTCCCCAGTGTGGAAGCTCTCATGTCGTGTAAGTCATTTACTTTGAATGAAGGCCTTGCATATTAATTACACTCATAAGCCTTCTCCCCATTGTAGATTGTCTGATAATTGATCAGGTTTCTATTGGAACTGAGAGCTTTCTGACACTCATTTTAACTGTAAGGTCTGTCACCTCATTGTTCAGCAGGACTGGAGGACAGATTAAAATATTCCCCAAGACAGTGTCACCTGGACATGTCTGTCCTGTTCATTGCTGTACCTGCAGGTACCCAACCCAGTGCCAGACACAGTTGATTACAGCGGCAGTCCCCAACGTTTTTAGTACCAGGGACTGGTTTCATAGAAGACAATTTTTCCATGGACAGGTGTTGGGGGATGGTTTCGGGATGATTCAAGTGTGCAACCCAGATCCCCTGCACATGCAGTTTACTGTAAAGTTTGCGCTCCTATGACGATCTAATGCCACTGCTGATCTGACAGGAGGTGGAGCTCAGGAAGTGATGTGAGTGATGGGGAGCAGCTGTAAATACAGATGAAGCTTCGCTCATGCACCTGCCACTCACCTCCTGCTGTGTGGTCCGGTTCCTAACAGGCCACAGAACTGGTACCAGTCCATGGACTGGGGCTTGGGGACCACAGGATTAGAGCAAATGGGTCTAGATAGGAGGAGGCTCTACTTGGGGCAGCTTCTATAGGGAAAGTGCTGTTGGCTACAGGGTGCTGCAGGAAAGGAGTGAGGTCCCAGCCTTAGTGCTAGCGGTGGAGATTCCTGGGCAGCCAACCCCTGGCCAAGCTGGCTCATCCACACCCCCCCAGGGCCCACACAAGCCAAACTCATATGTAATTTTAATGGAAAAAAATCACTCTATACCTTAAAAACAACAAACCAAGAAAATAAAAGCAAAAAACCAACACCTGGGCTCAGTAATTTCTATTGTTCTTTCTACCTTAAGATACTAACCATGCCTTTGAAATAATGAGTTACTATATAAGTTCAGCATTTGTCAGTGAACACTGTTAATGATGAAAAAGTTGTATAGTTTTTGAAAATTAATAATGATTTGGATTTTAGCCCAGATAGATATATCTCAGTTTATGGAATTTGGTACCTTATTTTGTTATTTTTCAAAATATGTTTATGAAGTATTTCAGGAAAGTTTGCAGGGTGTCTTGATAGTAGCAAAGTGAAGAAGATGAGCGTATCAAGTTTTTAGCAAAACATTTTATGTTCATATTAACAATGGCCTAACTTTTTCTCCTAATTTTGGGGTTGTTTTTTTGACTGTCTAACGACTTCAGTTAAGTACCATTTGTTGTGCATGCACGATAGTTTAACTTTT